GTTATAAAAAAGTAAGAATGTTTGAATTCCCAAAGCAACAGAGTAGTTAAGGCCAACTTCCTCAGAACACATCCAGAGATCTGGCTTCTGTGTGGATTATCTGGTTTCTAGAAGGGGTTATATCGTAACCTTTTTCTCTGTGGATTGTCTAACAGAGTTTCTTTCTAGCTGCTTCTTCCTGGAAACTGGAAGGGAAGAGTTACATTGTGATCTTTGTGGTAAAGCTGGATGTAGCTGGATGTTAGAATCTATGGTTACAAATGTTGTAGAAGTGGATAAAGCCTGTAGTGTTGTGGAAAACTCCAGTTTGTTGTATCATTATTGGAGGTGTTATCTAAATGAGCAGCAAACACAGGACTAGATTGATAAAATGGCTGAACAAGAGTTGAATGGCCTTTTTAGAACTGAATTTGAGACATCAGCTGCTAAAATGATTCTTTTAATTTGCTTGCCATGGTTCTGTTTATGGAATGCAACTGACTGAAAACTCTATGGGTTTATCAGGGTTATTTGGAAGGAACAGTTAAAAGCAGTTAAGAATAAATTTGTCTTTTAGGTAGGCAACATGGTAAAAGGATCGAGACTCTTGGGCTAGAGTAACTCCAGTTTGATTTTGCTGTAGAGCTTCTGTGTTGAATTTGCTGTTTAGGATTGGGTTGTGTACCAACAAAAATGTAGTTATGCATGGAAACAAAGTGCAAGCTGAGGCTTGAAGAGTGTCTAAAATAAAAGAGAAACAAATTAGTAGTAAAAGAACATAGATAATAAACTGCATAATAATCAGGGAATTAAACTGAGGTCTTGACGGAGTAAGCTTAGAAGGTTGAAACTTTGTGACCTTTATGATGGAGAATTGCTGGTCTAATGGGGAATCCACGAGGGTAGATTTAGATTAGACATTAGGAAGGAATTCTTAACTGTGAGGGTGGTGAGGCACTGGAACAGGTTGTCCAGAGCTGTGGCTGCCCCATCTCTGGAAGTGTTCAGGATCAGGCCGGATGGGGCTTTGAGCAACCTGGACTGGTGGAAGGTGTCCCTGCCCATGACAGAGGGTTGGGACTAGATGATCTGTAAGGTCGCTTCAAATCCAAATCATTCTGTGATTCTATGATTCTAGTGTTGGATGAGTAACTTAAGAGTCTTATTCCCAAGCAGGTTGTTTAAATACCAGCTAAATAAGCTTTTATGTCTTTGCACATGGTTATCTTTGGATTGAAGAACAACTACTTGGAAACTGGAAAATAAGTAGTTTGTTTTTTTTTTTTTTTTTTTTTGTTTTTTGTTTTTTTTTTTTTGTGATTCTTTTTCTTCTTTCTTCTGGATTAGTAACCCATTTCAGAAAGATTACTCGTTGAGGAAACCGTTGAGGTACGTGGATGTTACATTGGTCTACAAAGGTGGTGTAGTATGTATCTTTTTTGTGAGGTAGATGTGCCTCAGGAAATGCTTACTTCACCTTCTTCAGTAGTATTAGTGTATCAGTTAAAGGATTGAGATGGAGGAACTGTTTCCAGTGGAGCCTAACGTGTTGAACGACATCTTCTGAGCATGGTGACATCCAGTCAGCTCTGTTGTTACCTGCGGAGGACTGTGGGCTTGATGTGCATAACCTGCTAGCATAGAGGGATAAAGCTTTAACCAGAGACTATGCAAATTCCTGGTGGACTTCGCTTTAAAAAGAGGGGTTTATGTCATGTCCTGCTTTTACTCCTTGAATTTTGATAGAATGTCAGACCAGTTGCTCTGATTTTTTCCATTCTATATAGGTTCCTGTTCTACACCCATCCCAGTGGCATCAGAATGTCTTCTGGACTGCTTGCTGATAAGGAACATTAGAAAACAAGGCTGGCATCTGTCAAATGGGGTTCTCCCTCCATTTCTCTCTACACACCTTTCCTTTTGGGGGAGAAGAAGAGAAGAATAGCATGTAAGTTTTTTGAATTTTACTTACAGCAGCCTCAGTTGTATGTTTTGTACATAAATTGGAGGGGAGGTGGAGTAGAAATTGCTTGGTGGGGTTTTTGTTTTTGTTTTTTTGGGGGGGTTATTTTTTAATGTTTGTTTTCTTTTTATAGAGTCTTAGCTTGTAGTTGGTGTCTTACGTGAGAGGGAATTTTACAACTGTTTACAGGAAAATCTTGCCATTCAAGGCAAAGATTCCATGTTGACAGTGATTTTGCTTTTTTTCATGAAGTGTACATTTTTTCAAGACATTTGAGACCATCAAGGCTGAAGTGCTGTTTGAGGATTTTCTTTATTATTTTAATTCTGGTTTAAACTTGTCCTGAATGGATGACTTATTTAGCAGTAAGGACAAAGATGTTTTAAACTTCCTGTATCCTCTGCCAGCACTTTAAGAACCAAATACCTGGGTAGCTCCCAATGATCTTTTTCAGTGCAGGGTAGTTCTATTGCATTCTATGCCTGTTTTAGTTTCTTAAATCTCAGTCTAAATTGCATTTTGCTGTAATTTAGGAAGGAAGTGACAAAGGCACATACTTCTAAAGCTGAGCCCATGGGGATACCTTGCCATGCATTGAGAGCTGGAGATAAGCAACTGGTGCAGCCCAGCTGCAGGGGGAGTGATAACAGCCTAGCTGTTGGGGAAGTGCTAGACCAACCCTGGTGGCATGTTCTGGTCAGATGGCCAACAGTGCTAGGCAACAGCCCTTCAGAGAGATGACCCACAGTGGATAATCTCTCTTGCTATAGGCATCCTCCTCTCTGTTGGACTCAAACTATCACGGCTTGCTGGAGGGAGTGAGGTAGGGTATAAATCCAAATGCTGGATCAGGCAAAGGTGACAGTTGCATATGCTGGTTCAGAGGAGGAGACCTAAAAGCATATGGGTATTAAAAACATTGTGCATTTTTAGCTATCAGTGCCACATTTGAATTCTGCATTAATATTGTACCAGCTTGTTCTATGCCAAGGTCCAGATATGTTTACAACAGCAGAAACTCCTGCAGGAAATCTGGTTTTTACTAGGAATCATATTTTAAGCATGTACATACATGACAGCAAACTGAATTATCAAAGAGCCTTCTCATCTTGATGTTAACACTCAAGGTGAAAGGTGTTGAATTTCTCCTTTTTGAATGATCTCATTTATAGTAATTTTCTGAACAGAACTTAATAAACTTCTGGTGTTCTTGTTCTTTTACCAAAAAACCCCATGGAAACAGTATTTCTGCCTCATAAATGCAAGAAGATCTGAAAGAAGAACTTGGGACTTTGTGTAGATAGAAGAAATGTAAAAAACTTTTTCTCCCCAAAAATAAAATTCTGTTTCTTTTAAGAGCCATCAAGTGATCTGCTATTAATGAGAACAATTCTTTGACTTAAGAATTTTAGGGTTTCATATTTAAGAAGGAGCACTGTAGCTTGTATCAGCAGTAGTGTGGCCAGCAGGACCAAGGTGGTTGTCCTCTTGTACTGGCCACTGGTGAGGTCACTCTTTGGGTGCTGTGTTCAGTTTTGGGCCCCTTACTACAAGACGGACATTGAGGTGCTGGAGCAAGTCCAGAGAAGGACCAAGGGAGCTGGTGGAGTGTCTGGAGCACAAGACTGATAAGCAGCAGAGGAAGCTGAGGGGTGTTGAGCCTGCAGGAAAGAAGGCTCAGGCGTGACTTTATTGCTCTCTACAACTACCTGAAAGGACCGGTTGTAGCCAGGTTGGAGTTGGTCTTTTCTCCCAGGTAGCTAGCAGCAGGATGACAGAAAACAGCCTCAAGTGGTACCAGAGGAGGTTTGAATTAGATTGGATATTGGGGGAAAATACTCTTTACAGAAAGCATTGTCAAGTACTGGAACAGGCTGCCCAGGGAAGTGGTAGGGTCACCATACCTGGAGAATGTAGAAGACCCAGAGGTGTGGTGATTAGGGACATAATTTAGGGGTGGACTTGGCAGTGTTGGATTAACAGTTGGACTTCATGATGTTGGAGGTCTTTTCCAACCTAGATAATTCTGTTCTATGATTTCTCAGATTTTAGTGTATGTTTTAATACCATTAAATGCAAATGCCTGTGTTCAAGTATTACATCACTTTCTTGTGTTTGTTGGTTTTTGTGGTTTTTTTCCCCCCACCAGGAAAAGTGCAAAATGTTTCAAATTCCTGTTCAAAATCTTGATAACATCAGGAAGGCTCGGAAAAAGGTGAAGGACATTCTTGTGGATCTTGGCCTTGACAGCTGCAGGGAATTGTTGAAGGTAAAGCATTTGAAGTAACGTAAACCCTTGAAAAAAGTATCTTGCTTTTTACTGTATATATGATGCTCCTCTGCCATAGATCTTTATGGAAGGGTCCTCACTTGAAGGAGTACTCAATACTGACTGCTGGCGTGCCAGGGGAGGAATCTGGTGTGTTAGTATGTAACGTTCAAAGAAACAAGATGTGTCATAGGTGGCTGCTGCATAGTCTTTGCTACTAATCTTTCAACAAAAGGAAACAGTACAGCTTTAGGAAAAACATCACAGACTAACAAACTGTTACTTGTGTACTGCATCGCAGCTTTTTTGCTATTCTTTTAGAATCACAAGCAGATGAGGGCTTGAGTCTACTCAGAGGAATCCGATCACAAACCAAGGCCAAACCTCTGAAGGAATGCACAAACTGTCAGCATTTCTGAAGAGGCAGTTAGACCCAGTAGTCTTGTTGCAGGCCTTGACACTTCATGTCCAGGGAAAAGTACAAAAATTGTCTTATTGAGCTGTAGTTTGGTTCTGCATCTTAAAAAGTACATGCAAGTGTATTGGAGTGGTTAAGATTAGCCATGTACCATTGCTGTCACTTCCAGGAGAGAATTCTTTGCAGCAGTCAGGAGGAAAGTACACCGTCAGATTGGCAGCCCGAGTACCAGACAATTGCAAACACAGTAGTGCAGCTCAGTGGCTATACAGTAGTGCATTTCAGTGCAGTCGCGCACGAGCATTTTTGGCTGTTCACTATGTTCATGACTTCACACTGACCATAGTCAAGAGCTCAGATTTCTTCTGTATGCTGGTACTAAAGTAGATTTAACACTTTGTAGGAGAGCTGTTGTGTCATTTGTTTCTGAAACTGTAAGTAAACGACTGGGAGAAAATGCTTAAAGATCTACATGCATAACTAATTTTGGAACACTCTTGGTTATTGCAGTTGAATAATGTTTTCTGTATCTAAATAAATGTCATAATAGCTCAGGGGCAAATGTCTAGTAATGTCTATTTTCTTACTGGCTTTGTGTCATATATTGTTTTGTAATTAAACCTCTAACTCAGATGCTGAGTCTGTCTTGAGCCTTTGAAATAGAAATGTTTTGATGATGCCAGGTTTTTGTTAGGAAATTGCTTGCAGTCTAACTCTTTGATTGCATTATGGGGTTTAGTGGTGAATGAGGAATAAGGTGGGTGTTATTTCATTGGTTGGGGTTTTTTTGGGGGGTTTCTTTTGCTTCATTTTTAATAAATGTTGTTGTTGGTGGTAAACCGAGCAAACATTTCCTGTGAGGAAAAGGCTCTATGAGATGGTGGCCAAAAAATACCTTATTAGCTTTTTGCAAGTAATTCTCCCTCACACAAGTTCATAATTTGAGTTTCCTTTTTTCCAGGTAATCTGGGGCTGGTTTTGGTATAATTTTAGCAGCAGGAAGAGTGGTTTTTAGAACTTGGTTTGTACTTGGCTCATATGAGGATGGTATTTCTTTTTGGTAGCATAAGGTGTGTCATGTTTTAATAGAATGACCTGAGTCTGAAGGGACCTTAAAGATTATCTAGTGAAAAGTAGCTTCTTTTTTTTTTTTTTCTCTCAAATACTGAGATTGATTTCTGGACTTCCTGTGAGAAGGCTGAACAATTTAAGAAAGGATATGATACAAATGTGACCTGCCATCTGGTCTTAAAATTGGTCTTACACTATTCTAGTAAGGCTTGACAGTGGACAGTAGTTTGTGAGGAAGGTGAAGGAATTTCACATATGACTAGTATCTCTTTGTAGCTTAGAGACTAAATGGGTTAGTGTTTTTAGGCTAATTGATCTCTGCTAGGAAGAAACCATGAGCCTTTTGTGCTAGATTAATAGTTTGATTCTCCAACTAGTATGTGTAAGTACACTGTAATGCTAGAGGCTGGTTTAGCTGCTCTAACATACTCTGTGTTACTAAGTCTTCATTTAAACTCTGAGCATTTTATCTTTTTGTTCCAGAAAACAGTGATGGTTTTAATACCGAGGGGAGATCAGTTCTTAAGATTGAGAATGCTCATTATGCATCAGGATTTGTTAGGCTTCTCAGGGGCTTTTGTTCCCCTCTTGTTACCTTTCCCTCCTGTTTTCCTCCCCTCCTGAAAGTGAGAAATGTGGGAGGCGTATAACAAATTAGTGGATCTCTGCTTAAAGCAAGGGCTCACAATAGCCATTTGCACCACTGACTGGTTATCTTTATGAGTAGCTATTTATCTGTAGAAAATAGCTGTTTCAGCAAAATTTTCTAGGTATGTAATCATACGTGGTTGGCTTGTGGGAATCTGGTGCTTAAGTCTAGGAGCCTGTCTCTCAAACCAAAAGCAGAACAGGTTTTTTCTAAGGTAAGTTGATCTTGGTATTTTAAGAAGGCTTGGCTGAAGGGCAAATAGACGACTCATTCAGTGTTGAGGTATTGATCAGATTGAAGGGGATTTGCTTATTGTTACCCTCAGCTTTTCTGGGTTCTCTTTGGGCAAACGGGATGGTTGAAAAAGAGAGCTTACTGCAAACTCAGCTACATTTTTCTGAATACTTGAAAAATGTGATTTAAAACAAATTATCACTGGCATGATGTTCTGGCTTACTATAATCTGTTAAACACACAGGAATGCTCATATTTGTGTGGTGTGAACAGGAACCTAGTGTAGACAGAGCCTGCATGAAGTAGGATTTTGTATTTGTTTGATTGCTAAAGGGTTTGCTTCTCTTTGTTGCTCAGTGTATCCTGTGTTGCTGCTAAATTTTGCATAAAATTGCAATATTTTTTACCACTAACTGTTAGATTTATGAATCCTCCCCCCCATTTGTAAGGATTCCTGATCTTATAAAGGATTCAGTAGTTATTATCTGCTTCTGCTGTTCCAGTGGGGTTTGGTGCAGAGGTGAAAACATCTTGCCTTCTCTAGGTATCTCCAGAATTTTGAGTGCAGAGGGGTTTTGAAAGGGAAGGAGAATGTGAGGGGAGAAGTGATGCAAGATTTCTGTGGGTAAAGCCTGGATTTGTCACCTGTGTTTCATCTAAGGCACTCTGGTGTGCTGTTGTAGCTAGCCTAGGGTCTTCAGAAATGCCTAGCAAACAGGAATAGTTTGGTTTTTTCTTTTCATTCATTAAATTTGTGTTTGGATATATATGGGCCTCAGGAAACTGGAGACAAACTTGGGAGTTCTAGGATAGTAGCTGGATTTGGCTTGAGGAGCATAAACTGCTCTGATGGGATTGATTAGAAGAATGCTATAAGGAAAGTTTCTTACCCTGACACAGTTGTTTCAGACATGATAATATTGTTACTTTTACAGCTTGTGGAAAAATACTGCAGCTCTTGGAAATAAGCTTTGGTGAATGTCTTTTGTTTTTCCAAGTTAAAAGTATAGCAATGTTATGAAGATTTAGTACTAAAACCTGTTGCAAAGTAAACCATAATGGTAAATTCATAAATGAAAGTGAGCAGTGAATATTACAGATTTAGGAGGAGGAAGGTAAAGGTTCACTGTGAACTTGGCTGGAAGTAATGGAATTGAAGTGTAAGTATTTTCACTCCCTAAATTATTATTATCAGTAACTATGAATTGTCCAGAATTCCTTCTCTATTACCAGGCAGTCATATGATCAAGTATTTGAGGTAAAATAAATCAAAGAGGAGACAAAGGAGTAATTTGTTTGAACTGAGTTTTGAGACCTGTATTTGTATACTGTACGGGCTCATCCTTTCTTTGTGTGTGTTTACCTTTTTTTATTTTTCTGTCTTTGCTATTGAGACTTAATATTTAGAGCAGACTGCAGAAGCAGATTATTTCTTTTCTTTTTTTTTAGAGTCTTAAAAGTTTTGATCCAGGTGAAATTCACTTTTGTAACACTTCATGGAGTGATGTCTCTCCTTGGGAGCCTGTGGGCAAAAGAAAGGTATGTATATCTGTGTTAGAAATTCTGGGTAGATGTTTGTGGAGTAGCTGAATTTTGCAATTTTCGGAAGTCCTGGAAAATCTGGAATACAGCTTTTTAAATGGTAAATAAAGTAGCTTTAGAAATTGTTTTCTAAGTGCTGTTAGTCAGGGAATAATGTTGCATTTCCTCTGTGTTCTTCCCTGCAGCTGGTTTTGAGGACTACGCATGCTGTTTGCCATCTTTAAGGATACAGCCTTGAACATCAGTATTTAAGATGTCACACTAATGTTATGCCTTTTCAGCCTAATCTGATGTTTAGTCTTAACTTGGTCTTGTATACAATTTAGCTTTTGTTTCACTAGAAAGGTGAATATGTGATCGTATAGATGTGTGTGGGTTAAGCAGAAATTAGCATTAGTAACTTGGGATAGGGTTGCTGTGGAAAATTTAGTCCAGTAAGATTGTGTATGTGAAACAACTCTTAGGTCTTTATAGCTAGACTGCAAGAAAGGCAGGATTGAGATGAACAAACCAAAGGGTTTCTACAGTTATATATTGTAGCAGGTTTCTAAGTTGCTATGTAGAGCAGAGGAGGATGTCCAGAAGAAAAGGGAATCTTTTCTCAGTGTTGCTGAAGAATCTTAGGGCTCCTTCTTCCATAAGGAAGACTTGTCAATAGCATGTGAACTGGTGGGTCTGCTCTTTTCATCTTGCATCAAAAGGTAATGGTGGATTGTCAGGAGGTTTTGTTTGTTTGCCTTTACCATCTTTAAAACAAACTAAGGCTTTGAAGTGGAATAGTTGCATTTTTCTAACAAAGCCCCCAGCATACAGGCTGACCAAACAAAACCACTTAGTCTTTGTCAAGCTGTTATTAAGTAGAAAGTGCCTTTCAGGACCCTTGTCTACTTTGTCTTCTAGTTCTCCCTTTCTGAACACATTTAAGACTGGAGATTCATCTGTTCACAGGACTTTGTGTGTGAAACAGTCAGATGTGACTTTGACTTTGAGTTTGTGTCTTGCCTCTTGGTGCCTTTTCAGTTAAGGCTCACAGTTACCTTCAGTAGAGACTACCATTAGTTTAGGTGGATGGAATAAATCCTGTTAATTGGTATGATGGTTTCTCTTTTCCCCTCCTTTTTTATTTCTTTTTTTTATGCATGTGTCATGGTTTAACCCCAGCCAACCACCAAGAACCACGCAGCCGCTTTGGTCACTCCCCCACCAGTGGGATGGCAAAGTGAATCGGAAGGGTAAAAGCTAGAAAAACCTCATGGGTTGAGATAAAGGCAGTTTAATAGAAAAATCAAAAGCTGCACACATAAGCAAAGCAAAACAAGGAATTAATTCACTACTTTCCATGGGCAGGAGGTGTTCAGCATCTCCAGGAGAGCAGGGCCCCATCACGTAGGCAGTGACACCTGATCTTTTACCAGAATGGAGAAATAAATGTCCTGACTCAGCTAGTCAGCATGACCAGTTGTATCTGTCCAAAAACTCAAGATTGGAATCTGATCTGGTGAACTACACTGTAGAGCTGGTAATTTGTTGCTGTGGAATAGATTTTCCAAGCTATGTCTTTTGGATACTACACTTGTTTCCTGTCCATTTTGTTTAGACAATCATGGTTCCTTGATATATATATATTTAATTCACATATCATGCTGCCTAGATTTGGAAGTAAAGAAGTTGGTCCTTCAGGATGTTCTGTTCCCAAGTTGGTGCCATAGGGCAAAAATAAGTTGTTTGAGCTACATTGGAAACTCAGTAGGCTTGAAAAGATGTCTGTTTAAATGAAGATGTAGTTTCCACCATTGGTGCTATGTTTAGGGAGACATTAACAATTCTGGAAGAACGCTGGCTTTTGGAGGATATCCTGTCTTTCTGCTTGTCCCTAGGTTGTGGGCAATGTGAGACTATACAGCACAAGGTGTTACTAGATTTTGGGATCTGTTCTTTGGAGTAAGACTAGTCAAGTTTTCCTAAATGCCTCTAATAAGCCATTTTTTGGATTCCACTTACATAGTTTGAGGTTGTGTTGGTCAATCTCCGAGATGCTTTGTTTTTCCTAAGTGGCTTATAACTCTTTTTGTCAAATTTCCCATACAGCTGGGATACCATTGGTAGACATCTGTGGATGACTCTGTGTAACCTCCATGGGTGTATGAAATGGCAGAAAATTAACTGTACATACTTCATTGCTGCATCAGGGACATGTGTGGGTGATCTAGCTAGGCTGGATGCTGTAGTGGTGGAAGAGCTTGTGACCTTTGGATGGTGTTTCATAATAGGCAGAAGTCAGTAAGGTGAAAAACACATCTGAGGGAATAGACACATTCCACTAGATGTTTGAGAGTGCAGCTTCATCACCTGCATGTTGCTGTGACTGATACTGTAGTTTTTGGCAGGAGCCAGAGTTAACTTCCTAGGAAGCTGATCAGAAAAAATGATTGAAAGGGGAAGTGATGTTCATATACATACAAAAACTATTGTATCGCGGGACTTATAACCAAGGAAGCAAACTACTGCTTAGTGGAAAATAAGTATATTGTTATACAATTAAAATACTTTCCTGAGAAGAATCTGTATGCTCTATACTAAGTGTACTAGAGGAAATTCCTTAAAGAAATTGCTGTGATGGGTTGTCCAGTATGTATGAGACAGCACAAAGAGGTCATTGCTGCTTTATGTTAAAAGTGTGTTTTATTCTTTCCTATTATTATTTTGGCTCCAAAAGAATGTTCTTAAATAATTAGTCATTTGTGGCATTGTTGGGAAGATACTTCTGGAGAGTTTGCAGCAAAGAAATTTCAGAGTTTTCAGCTATTGAAATACAGAAAAAAATTCCCTGCCTGTTTTCTCTTCTTGCTCTTTCTCCAGTAGCTAAGAGCTGGCCCTGAACTAAATAAAGCTTTAAAAGTATCATATTAAAAGGGTTGCTATTCCTAATTGCTACATTGTACCTCCCATGTACAGTGGCATGCAAATTCTTAACTTGTTCTCTGATTGCCATCCTTAAAGATGGGCTTCAGTATTACTTCTTGTGAAGTGGAATGGGAATGAATTTGCTTAAAGCTTCTCAATAAATTTTAACAATGGAAAAAGGGCAGAAATGTTTCCCCCTTTATGTCATCTTTAAATCTGCTTTTCAAAACCAGAAGAAATAGGAGATGCATGCCATATGTCCACTGAATGTATTTTTTGACAGGTGATAGTGCAGACTTATTTTTAGACAGGTAACAGCGATTTAGGAACTGCCAGTTTCTAAGCAGATATTTCTCTTCTGTTTGCAGAGATACAGGACAAAGCCCTACTGCTGTAGCTTATGCAAGTTCTCCTCAAAATTACTCACTACATACAAGAATCACTTACATCGTTACCATGAGGATGAAATGGACCAGGAGATGGTGGTTCCTTGCCCAAAGTGTGCATTTTCTTCTCATTCGAAAGTCGTGAGAAAACATATCCAAATGTTTCATTCACCTAATAAAAGAACACAGAACTATACAGTCAGCATTTTGGATGGCATGAAACAATTCAGAAGTGACATCATAAACTTCACGTGTCTAAAATGTCACTTTACAGACACATTGTTTTACAATATGAAGAAACACGTGCTGATAAACCATTTTAAAAACTTAATAAGTATATATTTTGGTGAGAAACCTGATGAAAGTACAGAAAATTCTGTTGAGTACTACTGTAAAAAATGTGATGCTTCTGCAAACAGCCCAGATTGTTTAATGTATCATGTCTTGACAGCTGATACACACAGAGACCTGGAGAACAAACTTCGGTCCCTGATTTCGGAACATATTAAGAAGCCTGGACTTGTGAAACAGATGTGTGTTGCTATGAAGCCTGCCCAAGGTGTGGCAGCGACTGCTCCATCTGCAGGGCCTGCTGTTGTCCCAGCAAGTTCCATCACACCTCCTGCTTGCATCCAGCTTGCATTTCCACAGAACAATCAAACCCAGGGCACGGTGCAGCCAAAAGCAGTTCAGAACACAGTCGGACCGCTGACCATTCCAAGTGCCTCTGGTAGCCTTCCGCATACAACTTCTGCTACAGTTGTTACGCCGTCGCACGTCACTCTGGTACCTGGCAATCCTCCTGTAGGTCAGAGCAATGTTGGCATTCAGCTGCCACCTCCCCAGCCTATCATTGTTTCTCATGGGCTCCCTCTTAATCATTCTGTTGGGACCATAAATAGACCTGTGGCCTCTGCAGTTATTCCTCTTAATCAGCCTGTCAGGCCTGGGCTCTTTCCTGTTAATCAGTCCATCGGTACTATAAATGGTCCAGTTCCAGCTGGAGCGCTGTCTGTTCCTCAGCCTGTCAGCCCTGTGAATCGACCAGTTGCACCAGGAGTCCTTCCTGTGAATCAACCAGTTTCACCAGGAGTTCTCTCTATCAACCAGTCGCTTGGGAACACGAATAGACCCATTAATTCCAAGGTCCTTCCAGTGACGCAGACAGTTGCATCTGGTGTTCTCCAGCTTAATCAGCCTGTTGCCTCTGGGGTGGTTCCTGTCAGACAGCCTGTCAGACCTGGGTTCTTCCAGCTTAATCAGCCTGTTGCCCCAGCAGTTATCCCAGTGAATCAGCCAGTTCAGCCTCCAGTTTCTCAAAGCCCAACATTTTTGACTGCAGGTTCTATACTGAGGCAGTTGATTCCCACTGGTAAGCAGGTTAATGGGATACCTACATACACGCTGGCCCCAGTTTCAGTTACTTTGCCTGTACCTCCTGGTGGTGGAGTGGCAACTGTCACGCCCCCACAGGTGCCCATTCAGCTCATGCAGTCTGGGTCAGTGACTCAGCTGACACAGCCACTGACCTGTGCTCCCTCTTCTCCTGTGGTTCTGGCATCTCAGAATATAGCATTACAGGCTGCCCCACCTGGCCCTGAAACAAGCCAGGCTGTCAGGCAGGCCAAGCAGTGGAAGACTTGCCCTGTTTGCAACGAGCTTTTCCCATCGAATGTCTATGAAGTGCACATGGAGGTGGCTCACAAACCACATGAAGTAAAAGTGGAAATTCCGGAGGCTGACAAGCTCGCAGCTTGCGCACCCTTTCTGAGGATGACGGAGAAGGCGATCCGGTGTTATGCTTGTAAATGTTTTCTCTGTGAGGAGGAGCTCATGAAACATCTCTTCATGCATGGCTTATCTTGCTTGTTTTGCACAGGTACTTTCTATGACTTACAAAGCCTGTTGATGCACAATAAAACTGCACACAATGGGAGAAAGCAGTTACATGCACACTATAGCAACAGAGGGTTTCAGCTAGGTAACGACGCTCAGGGCAGCCTTGTGTTTCCGCACTTCGATTTCAATACAGTGTTACCAAAGGAAGACATGGGCGAAAAAGAAGTTCATTTGGCAGTACTTGTTGGAATCAATTCGAGGATTCTTGTCCCTGTTTACATCAAAGTGAAACCTCAGATAGGAGAAGCAAACAGGAGATGCACAAGGAAAGTGTTTACCTGTCCCTTTTGCCTTGGGTCCTTTGCCGGTAAAGAAACCTATGAAAAGCATTTGAAGGAGAGGCATCATATAATGCCAACTGTACATACGATTTTAAAGTCCCCTGCTTTCAAGTGCATCCACTGTTGTGGTGTGTACACTGGAAATATGACTCTAACAGCTATTGCTGTGCATTTGCTCCGTTGTAGAAGTGCTCCCAAAGATACTAACTCAAGCCTGAAGATGGAGCTTGAGCGTACCGAGAGGAAAGAGCTACTCTTTGTGAATGGTGAAAAGCACGATCCTGTGATACTGAAAAGAAAGCAGTCGGATTCCTGCTTTGTTGCAGAAGACCAAAGGAATAAGGAACAGCAGCCTCTGAGCATAACTACTGGCATAGCTCTATCTCCAGAGACAGAGATGAATTCAGGGGTAGTGCCTTTCAAACGGCAGAAGCTTAGGACCGAGATGAGGAAGGTGACTTGTGGTGAAGATCTTCGCTTTCTAGCGATAGATCCTAATCAGTATGATCACAATTCATACGAGGATCAAACCCAGTTTTTGTCAGACTACTTTCACAAGAGGCCATATCCTTCTAAAAAAGAGGTGGAGTTACTCTCCTTGCTGCTATATGCGTGGAAGATCGATGTTGCATCATTCTTTGGGAAAAGGAGGAATATGTGCTTAAAGGCGATAAAAAGTCAGAGACCATCTGTGCTGCTGGGTTTCAGTATGTCTGAACTAAAAAAGGTCAAGCACAGTTTGAGTATAAAAGATGACACCTTAGAGATGTAAACAAGCTTTTTATAACAGCTGAAAGCAATCCATAATTGCATACTTAATGATTTAGCAGTTTATTATGTTATGCAGACTGGCCTGTTGAAGGGTGCAGTAGTAGAAAAAGTATCATTCTGTTGTGACTGTTATTGTGAAAGGCACACGTTGTGTATTTTAAAAAGCTAAAACCTTCAGACTTACACATCTGGAATTTGTTTTAGCTTTTTACTTTTCCTGGAGTCGTGTTGTGGATTTTTTTGTTGGTTTTTTTTTTTTTTTGGTCCGCTTCCGTTTCCCTTTCTTCTCCTTCAGGCTCCCATTACCCTTTTTATACCACCATGTAAAACACTCATCCTGTTAAAAACAAGTTTTGTTTTATTTTTATGCAATGTCATTATCTTTTCTAAATAATAAAATGTGTAATGTTGGTTAAAATACTGAGATACCTATGTGAAAAACATCTACTTGATTATTTGTCTTTTTAAGTCCTCCTAATTTTTTTAATCTATTTTTGTTTTATCTACTGAAGAAGTGATTGTGGCCTTTACAGCCATTGCCCTTTCAAATTCCCAGTGCGCTGGTAGCAGTGAAATATATGGCAATTGTTATTTTCTCAAAGTACCTGTGCCAGTTAAGACTGGTGACTTGTAGTTTCTGCAGAGTATTAACTTGGTAGGATTGAGGGGCTCGGGGGGGTGCCTCATGAAATGTCATAATGAACTGACTTGAAGTGGTTGTGTTATTATCTGTTAAATAGATCTTGCTAACCAGAAGTGTTTACTCTTCTTGTTGGTGTTGAACCCTGGCTGTTTAAATGCCTGTTGTTCAAAGCTTGCTAGCAGCATTTGGTTTATTTTCTTTTTCCAGAAGCATAACTGCTTTGGAGAGCGTCACATTGCTTTGATAGGTGGAGTATATGACTTCTGTGCACGTCACTTACCTGTAGAGGCCCTATCCAGATATCGCCAAAGTTTGGTGAAAAATCTGATTTCCGTTTTAAATTGCTGTTTTATGAGGTAGTAGCTGAGCAGTGCCTCCTCCCCAGCAAATTGAAGTCCCTTGGGTCAGAAACTGTACAAACCGAGATGGATTGCTGGGTAGCATCAAGACTTTCAACTCTTGAGTATCTGAACAGATGATATTCATGTAGTGATTTGGTTTTACTGTCCTATGGAGAGCATTAAAATAGTATAAAACGCAAATAGACTTATCTTCAATATGAATTAACACCCCTATTACAGGTTACAGAATAGCTGTTAGGAAGATTCACTTGACTTCAAGCACAGATGTTGAGGCCTTGTTTTGAGTACTGTCCTTTCTTTCAGGATATGCTTGTTTTCATCTGGCTTGTCAGAGAGTGCCTCCACTATTAATTTGCAGCCAGTTACATAATAAATAAGCTGTAAGATGCATTATTTTTTCTTCCTCCTCTTTAACCCCCTCTCCCCCTCCTTCTTTCTCAGAAGAAATAGAAGACTTCAGTTGTGCCACAAGGAAAGGGTGAGATGCCCAAGCTTATTCCGATTTTTTTTTTTTAAAGTAGTAACCATACTTTTGCCCTGTTCAGTAGTTTTTAAAGCAGATACAGATTGTTTTTGGTGCTGTATCTGTAAGGGCATGACATTTCTAGCAGAATTTGTTGACTTTCTGCCTGAGGTTCTATAAGCTGTTTGGAATTATATTTTGGATAAAATCTTAGTATTTTCATATTGATTGCTTCAGAGAATTTTAATGTGTATGTGACATACAGTTTCTCGAATAGAGAGAATCTGCAATTTGGAAAAACCTGGTGTTTTACTAGCAGTGTTAAGCACACATAAACCCCATTTATGGGATCATCTGCACGCCCCACCCCCAAAGAGTGATGGTGTTTAAGAAACAGTGTGTTCTTACAGCCTAATAGCTCATTAAAAATTATTTTTAAAACCCACCATATTTGAGCATAACACAGTTCATGAAATCTGTTAGAAGGGCTTTGAGTGAGGAAGAGAGATCTCTGTAGAAGTTCTGAAATCTAGGCTCTCTTTCTCACTCTTAAAGCCTTGATGCTGTGAGCCCTGTCATGTTTGGGATGGTTCTGCTGGTATTGGTGAAGCTCCAGCATGGAGGAATTTGGCAGTGCGTCTGGGGAAGGCTTGCCATGAATGGTGAAAGATTGGAGAGAACAGTGTGGCTGTGGGGAGCTGGAAAGTCATTTCAGGGTTTATCCATGCTCGGGGCACCAAGGGAACAGTCCAGTCCTACCACTTTTCCTACATAGTGTCCAGTGTCGATGTTAAGCATTTTATTTATTGGACTTTGGTTTCACAGATTCAAATAAACCAGATTTCTAACTTTGTCTTAGGTGTGTGTGCAAATGATTACCTGTCCTCGCTCTTTCCTCCTTTTAATACATTCCAAGAACTGGGTATGAACATTTCTTTCAGTGCAAAGTGGCTGCTGAGGGACAAAAGGAAAGTAAGACCTAGAACTTAGATCCAGATGCTTTAGGTGAACCTTATTGCATTATAGAAATATCTTTTATTATCTCAAGTACTATCAGCTGCATGTGTTCCCAGAGACTGATGTCTTAAGATCTTGGTACTAATTTGCTATCACTAAATGCTCCTGCTCTCATTAAGTGAGTACTACAAAAGTAAAGAACAGATGAATTTTGAAATGTTAAAGTGGTGGCTGGCAACACACTATGGTCATGGTTTTCAGAAAAGCCAATGAGCTTGAAAACAACTAAGTCAAGTCAGTGTCTTTAACTAAATTAGGCTTTTCCGTGTAGGCTTCTCATGTGTGGAAAAGATACTACTCCCCCTGAGTCTCCATGTGGGCAGTGTGGTAAATGCTTCTCTGGCACTTTTCTAAGCACAGGGCTTCACACTCCTGGGATATGATTTTGGGAGTGGGAAAACAAAGAGCTGCCTTCTGCAGCAGGCTGCCCATACAAGTCCTTGAAGCACATGGATGAAGCTGTAAAAGAAGCCGAGTTGGGAAGTGAACTGGTTGGTTTGCAGGATGGTTGTTGCAAGTATTTGTTCCTTATGGGAACGAAAAAACCCAAACCTCCATGTATTATTCTTCTGAAATGTATTGGTCTGGAGAAATGTCCGTATTTGAGAACTATTTTGTCATGGTGGCTTGAGTTTTGTGCTGGTGAAATAGTGTAATACCTTCTTATTTGAGTATGTAGTAGGAAAGATTATTATAAAGTAACTTGGTTGTGTTTCTTCTGTATGTGTTCACATTCTGGGAGTTAATATTGTTTGGTAAACTGTTTTGGAAGGGGCTAAAAACCAAAGCACCTTTGTGATTGGTTTTCAATACTGTTTTCTTGTGTAGAACGATAGCTATGTTCACCATCAAACTCTTCTTAGTGTTTGAAGTTCAAGAAAGCTCAGAGGCTTAGTTAGGTTGCTGTTAAGTACAATTTTGAGTGCGCAATTCTCAACGAAAGCGTCTATAAAGCTCTAATTCTGTTGCAATTGACTGTTGTTTTCAAACATCTGTCAGACTTGACTGTGGGCGTGTTTTTGCAGGAAAGATACTTGATGCTAAGTAGCAAAGTACAGATACATGGAGAAAAAAGCTGCAATCTAGCAGCAAAGGGGAAAAAAGTATCAAACAATTCCCAACCCTTAAGAAAAGGAAAATGTTCATGGCTTTTTTTGAAGGTCAGGAGAGTTTTCACTCCTTCCTGTGCAAAATGTATGTGACAAGGACAAATTGAAGGTATTCATGAATGAAGCAGAACTTTGTGGTGCTGCATTTGAAGTCTTAACACTTTGATTCAGTGGCTGTATATCTCATCGTGGCTGTTTGGATCTGACAAGCAGATTGCAGTTGTGACCATTTCTCTTTTTACTTGGCTACCAGGTCCTAAAACATGTATGATGATTTATATTTGTCCAGTATAACACCAAGTTAGGTTGGATATTAGGAAGAGATTTTTTACAGAGAGAGTGCTCAGGCATTGGAATGTGCTGCCCGGGGAGGTGGTGGATTCACCATCCCTGGAGGTTTTCAAGCTGAGACTGGATGTGGCACTTAGTGCCATGGTCTAGTCTAGTAACCACGGTAGGGTTGGACTCGATGGTCTCTGAGGTCTCTTCCAACCAGGTTGATTCTATGATTCTGAGTTAGAGGAGGCATCTGTGGTGTGTGTGCTTACAGTAGTGCCCTGTGTGTTTGAGAAAGCGTGTAGGTCTGCAGATCTCAGGAAGATCCATGTGGGCCATGTGCCCATCCTCTATTCCCACATAAACTGTTGTTTATTAACACAATGTTCTACCTAGTACTATGTTAAAGAGTACCTTGCAATGAAATCAGGGGAAGGTAGAGCCCTCAAGTATTTTTGCAAGTATTTTTCTTATTTTATTTTGGCTGCTTGTCGATCAATGGGAGGGACAGCAGTTCTGGCTCCTTGAAGACTCTCAGACTGGTAGGTGTTCTGTGCATGGAGTTGCACCAAGTAAGCCAAGTATGGGACAGCTGACAGTGCATGTGTATGATTGAAAAGCATCAGGCATGGACATTGCTGGAGAGAAATCTGAGTAACTGTATTATCAGAGTCAGTGCCAATTTGGCTTATAATTTGTTTGGAAGTGAAATGTAATTTTGAATGTTGCGAGAAGTCTGTAAAGCAGAATTGCAGAGAGGGTTTGCAAAGAAGCACCATAGATTTTAGTTGTTCTTTGCAGGAAACCAGCCAAATGGCTGAGAAGCTCCCCTGGCAGTGTCCAGGCTTCACTGAGATACAGAAGACTGTCTCTCGTGGACTGGGCATGTTAGCTGTGCTGTTGTTTTTGCATTCAGTGTGGGATCATGCAGATCCAGCACTGTGGTCAGGGCCGTGGGATTCAGAAGCAATGAGTGTGGTTTGGGCAGGAAGACAGTTCTGAGATGAGCATGAGCCCTTTGGCTGGGGAGAGGTGCATGAGATGGCTGACAGAAAGGGGCTGCCACCCACCAGCATAGCCCAGTGCTGGGCAGTGTCTGTAGGAATGATTACGTGCTGAGTCCTGCATAAA